CCGTCAAGGCCGACACACAAGTCTTCAGAAGACAAAGCTCCTGGCCACAGAAAATGGGATGCAGAATTTGCTCATTCGGGCTGGCGGGAACATGCTTAAAATGATGGGTGCCATGGATGTTCTCAAGTATTTGGGCAGAGGCATACCGGCTAGTCTAGAGAACCGTAACACTGTCGAGTTGGGCCAGATGTCCCCGCGGGCTTGGCACAGATTTCATGATCACCGCCGTGACCTCACGGACCAACACGTGCCCTTGCGATTGCGGCTCAAGCTGTTCCGATCTATCATTGCACTGCTGTCGGGGTGATCGGCCGCGGCTCTGACAAAGCAGCAGGTGTAATATTTGTGGACGTGCTTCTAGAAACAACATGCTTATTTTGATTGTGGATTGGAGACGTCGTGAAGATGACGAGTGGGCAGATACTATGAGGCGAGTGCGGGACAGGGCCGATCATGAGATGCAAGTCTTCCCGAACAGATGGAGTGAGTAACTTTGTCGTCGACTGTTCAGATGTGCCTGCTGGTCAGCGAGGCTGGACAATGGATGGGCCCAGCAAGCCCGAATTTGGAGTCCACGCTATACGCACGGGGCCACGCGGTCGCGCGGACACCCTCCGACGAGATGGGACGACCGCCGCCAAGGAGTCGCCCGTGATGCCTTACATACTGTACCCCATTGGTTCGAAGTCGTACCAGGAAATCAGTAAAGATACAGTCGTCGAATATTGCATTCATGCGTGGGGACAGCCCCCCCTGGGCATCGCTCGGACGTCCGTTCCCTGTGTTTTTTTTTCTCGGTTTCGTGCGTGTTCTTTTCGCCAAATGATCAAGGATGCTCCTCGATGGCCCTCGCCGAAGGAAAAATGCACACGTCCGAGCGATGCCAAGCCCCTCTTTCTCTCCCCCCCCTCCCCCCTCGAAGGCGCAACGTCTGCCCTCCCGTGCGCACGCGCACGCTCTGCACGGTGCGCTGCGGCCTGGCCCGGGCACGGGCACAGACCCTTGCTTGCCGTCGCTCGGACGTCCACTCCCCGTGCATTTGTCGGTGTCGTGCGTGTTTTTTTTTTGTTGCTCGATGGTCCAGGATGCTCCTCGATGGCTCTCGCCGAGGAAAAATGCACACGCCCGAGCGATGCCGAGCTTGCGGTTTGACCTGGCCCGCCTGGTCGTCTTCCCCTCGCCCTCCCGCGCCGTCCGCCTCCCTCTGCCTCCTCCTCCCCTCGCCTCCCCCCCCCCTCCAGGGCGAGAGGGCGAGAGGGCGGGGGGAGGAGACGCGAGCGCCTCGTGAAGCTATGCAGGCCACGATGCCCATGGAATGCCGACGCACGTGTCCTCGAAGTGGGCGTCTGGGGTCTGGGCAAAGCCAGGGGAGCTCCGCCTAGATTAGAAAGATGCGACCTGCCAAGTGGCGTGCCGTGCCCTGGAGTCGACCACTCCGAACGAGACCAGGACGCCACAGAAAGAGGAGCGGCAGAAGGAGGACGAGGAGGAGGAGGAGGAGAGGAGCGAGACGGCGGACACATGCAGAGCGAAGCTCTGGGAGCCGTGCCCTCCAGGAGCTGCCAAGAACTCTGCAGAGCCGTTATTAAACATAGCAGAAACGGACGGGAACAAGGATGCCCGAACAATGCGATCCCGCATGCGGCCGCCTGACTTATCGGACCCTGGAGGAGAACAGAGGAGTCGTCAGCGTCAAGCCCGAGAAGAGCCCTCGCGTTGAGTAAGGCCTCGGCCTCGACATCGAAGAAGGTGTCCGGATCGTCCACACTCAGCTTAAGAATCTCGGGGAGGGACAAACGGCTTCGCCAGTCCTCATCACAGCCAGCTTCCTCAACCAGGGAATCTAATTCACAGTACTCCTCGTAGTACTCGTTGGGATCACGCTGGAGCGCCTCCTGGACCTGTTTCTCCCTGGGTCCCGAAGCGGCACTCTTCCCAGAGGGGGTCGCCCCTCCCCAGAGGGGGTCGCCTGTGCCCTCTGGGGCGCGTTCGACCACCAGGTTCGCCTCGCTGAGGGAGCTCAACGACCCGACGCGCCCGAGCTCCGCCATGAAGGAGAGCAGGAGGGTGTGGCCCTCCGCGTCACGGCGGCTCGCGAAGCCAGACCTGCTGATGAGGTCCAGTACAACCCTCTGCGTCGCAGCCATCGGGATGTCGGGCCGAGACGGCGGCCGCTCGCGAGCAGCCGGCTGGGCGCCGCCGGCGCCCGCCCAGGCGGAGTCCTGCCCGTTCTCGGGTGGGTTCTCGCGTGCGCAGCCGCCTCCGGTTTCCGCTCGCCCGAGCCCACGCGGTTGGTCGAACTCGTCGTCGGTCTCCCATGGCTCGCCGTCGCTCTCCTGGCAGGGCGGCAGAGACCGCATGGTGGGGAGCGACTTCATGGTGGCCTCCGCATAGTGGGCATTGGGCACATGCTCGGCAACGACGCGTAACTATGATCTGAACCTTGGCATGATGCGTGAGAGGCCACGTTGAGGTAAGCTGCGAGAGATCCGTAAGTATCAATGGTTGACGTTGTCATAGAGGTGCCCTGACTGTTACCACTTCGAATTCCAGTTGGGCTGCAGAAGCCGCAATCGTTGCAAGTAGCGTTGGGGATGCCTCTTTGGATCCACTGAGTTCCACATCTCGTTGACGAGTCCATCCGCGCAAGAGGTGAGCTTCAGAAGAGAAGACGGTGCAGTCAAAGCGTTTTGCCAAAACTCATACAAGAGGGCGGGTGAGGAGGAGGAGGAGCTCCTGGAGCGCGTTCTGGCCAGGATCTCGAGGCGAGCACCGCCGTGGCCACGAAGCGAGCGCCCCCCCCGGGGGCCAGAGAGGTAATCAGAACATGGGCCTCAAGAGGACTGCAATGGGGCGCCGCGGCCGTTCCAGAGCGTTCGATGACGCTCTGACAGCAGGGAGCTACCTTCGGTGCCCCCCTCGCGCCATGACAAAAAACGCGACGGGAGGTTATTCCCTATTGTCGGCCTCCCGGGGCCCTTACCAAGCCTCGCGACCGTCAAAGAATGACTCAGGATGAAAAGCCGGTCTCGGGGAAGGGGTCCTGACCTCTGGGGGTCGACGTTGTGAACAATGCACGACGTCGGGGCCCCGTTCCGGCTGCCGCGAAGGCGCTTGCGCGATGAGCGCTCCCCGACTGCGAGGGCCAATCCGCGCCAACATCCCTTACCTCCCCCATGCCGGTGCTGCTCTTGTGAGTGTGGCCCCCGATCCTTTGGGAGGCGAGCTAAGTCAGGAGGCCAAGAAGCATTAGGGACAGAAGGTCTTTTCTGCAGATGCATTGAACCAAACCGCCCAGAACTATTATCCCGGATCCGTGGGGTTACGTAGGGGGTCCTTGATCCTCGATGCTCTTGCCTCCTCATTCTCCTCCCCGCCTCAAACCCCTGGCCCAGTCCCAGATGGTGCCGGAACCTGGCCTGTCGACAGGGTGCCGCCCTGTCCGCTGCAACCTCCTCCCGGGCAGTGGCTCTGCCAGCCCTCTCGAGGTGGAGATGGGATGGCCGCGCCGGCCAGGCCGCCGAGGAGGCCGCGCGCAGGCCAACAGCAGGCAGACCCCTCTCCCAGCCGCCCTCCCCTCGCGCCACCATCGATCCCCCCCCCCCCCGTGGCAAGACCGCTCGTCCAGGGTGTCGGAGGGCTTCGGAGGCCTCTGGAGTCCCCAGGCCGGCGGGGGAGCGTCCACGAGCCCGGGCCCTCGGTCCTCTTGGTTCCTCTGCGAAGCTGCGCCTCGAACTCCACGAGACCTCCTCAACTCGACCGCATTCCTCCTCCTACTCCTCGTCCTGTTCCTCCTCCTGGGGCTCGCCTCGAACTCCTGCTTCGAAATCTACTCGAGTCGACTCGAACTCCTCCGATGTTTGCGGCTTCTCCACTTTTTCCTCCCCCTCCTCCTCCTCCTCCTCCTCCTCCTCCTCCTCATCATCATCATCATCATCATCACCATCATCATATTCCTCCTCCTCCTCCTCCTCCTCCTCCTCCTCCTCCATCTTCTTGCTTGGCCTTTTGCGTTTGGCCTAGACCGTCTGCGCCCCTCTACACCCACTGCTGCCGCCACACAGAGGAGGCGGAGGAGGAGGAGGAGGAGGAGGAGGAAGAGGAGAAGGAGGAGGAGGAGGAGGAGGAGGATAAGAAGGAGGAGGACGACGAGGAGAAGGAGGAGGAGGAGGAGGAGGAGGAGGAAAAGGAGGAGGAGGAGAAGGAGGAGAAGGGAAATTGAACCTCTGACGATCTTCGAGCGGAGGCCTTCAGAGGGCCCCCCCCCAAACACTCCAAACCGTGGAAACGTCGAAAGGCTTGGATCCTCCTCCCTCGCGGCAACCACATGCGACCCCCTCAAAACGAGGGCTTGAAGCACCATTGAGGGTTCAGATTCTGAAGGATGTCTGCAGCCAGCGAAACCCCTAAATGATCGATGGGAGTGCACGTAGGTCGTTTGACTCCTCATGCGTACTCCTTTGACGGGCAAGAATCACAAAAAAAGCACGGCACAAGCCGTCGGAGCTCCGCGCGCGCGGATCCCTTGGATCGGCGCTGGGACCCCCCCTCCCTGGCGCGAGGAGCGCGCCAGGGGGCGCGTCGGAGCCGATCCGAGAGATCCGCGCGGATCCTCGACAGTTTAACTCTGGCCATCGCTCGGACGTCCATTCCCTGTGTATTTTGTCGGTTTCGTGCGTGGTTCTTTCGCCAAGTGATCAAGGATGCTCCTCGCTGGTCCTCGCCGACGGAAAAATGCACACGTCCGAGCGAGGCCAAGGTTTGCATGCTCGTGCCCCGTGTCTCTCAAGGGGCCCCAGGACACACAAACAAATACACACAAATAAAACTATTCCCCATGTTATCCCACATTTTCTGGGCTTCTGTCTTCCCCCCCCCCCCACCCCACTTCCCATATTTCCCCATCCTTCCTTGAGAATCGACGATTTCTTGTGTCTGCTTTTTTTTTCCCCCCCTCTCCTGCGTCTCTGCTCCGAGGCACGGCGCGGCGGGCGGTGGACCGCCCCCCCGCGGCGTGGAGCGCCGGCGAGCCGCCCGGCGCCGGCATCGCGGCGCGCGCCCCGTGCCGGGGCGCGGCGCCTCACGCTCGCCCGCCTGCGGCGGGGCGAGCCGGGGTCGGGGGATCCGGGGTCGGGGGATCCAAGAGATCCGACGTCGTGATTTTTTCAACACGGGGTCCCCAGATATCGGGCGTCTCGAAAAAATCGAGACGGAGGTTTTTCGTCGTTTTTGACCTCTGGGGGCCCTTGCCGGGCCTCGGGACCGTCAAAAAACGACTCGGGATGAAGACCGGTCCCAGGGAAGTGGTCGGGAGGTCGGGGGCCCGCGTCTCAAAAAAATCGAGACGTCGGATGTCTAGGTCCCCGGAAGTCTCGACCCATTCCCCAGGACCGGTGCTCCATTCCGAGTCGTTTTCTGACGGCCCCGAGGCCCGGCGAGGGCCCATATAGGGGCCGAGATTTGAGAAAAACCTCCGTCTTGATGTTTTCAATACGCTGGATCTCTGGGATCCGGGGTCGAGGGATCCGGGATCGAGGGGTCCGGGGGTCCAGGGAGCAAGGGATCCCGGCTGGGCTCGAGGGTTCAGGATCGGCGTTTCCCCCAAGCCTCCCGCCCTGAGCTCGTCTGGGACACAGCACCTACTGCCCGTCCCAGTCCAGCCCCAATCCCCCTGCACTCTCTCTCTCTCTCTCTGCCTCTCTCTCTCTTTTTGTTTTCTCTCTCTCTCTCTCTCTCTCTCTCTTCTCTCTCATTTCAACGAGCCCACAAAAGACGCACGCGCCCAACCACGTACATGAATACGGCCCCCCCGTCCGCGAGACCCGCCTCGCAATACGAACGTTCGCGCCATGCGCACTCTCGAAACCCACGTGGCTTCACGCACGTGGTACGTCCTTCTTTCGCTCCCGGCCCTTCCGACCAGCCATGACTGAGGGAGCTGTGGTCCTTACCCCCCTAGGGGAACCCATCGCATCGATGATCTCTCGAGAGGGGTGTCGAAATCGATGGGGGTAAGGACCACAGCTCCCCCAGTTGTGGCTGGCCTGCTCTTGCTCGAATGGGCCACCCTGCTGAGTCTCGGGCAGGCAGCTGCAGCCCACGGCGGCGGCAACGGCCACGGGCAACGACGAATCGACGGCGGGAGGCCGCGCCTGCCGGAAGGCTTCGGCGGCCGGGGCGGGCGGCGTCGGGGGCGGGGCGGCGGCCGCCGTCCTCGCCCGGCCGGGGCGACTGCGCGCGCCCGCCCCCGCCAGAGCCGGAGCGCTTTGAGCCCCGGCGCGGCGCCGGCGCCGCCGCCGAGGGCGTCGGCGCCGTCCGCGTCGGCGTCTGCACCGCCACCGTTTCGCCGCTGACGCCGGGCGTCGTCGGAGAGGTTCGGGGCGCTTTGGGGCCAGTGTTGGGAGTATTCTTCCTGCTCCTGCTCCAAGAAGGGCTCCAGAGCATCAGCGTCGTCGTCCTCGTCGCCGCCGCCGCCGTCGTCTGCGTCACCGCCCATAAGGCCTTTCCAAGATGAACAGCAATACGGGAAAGAAATATACATCGAGAGAGAGAGAGAGAAACAAAAAAAACAACAACAAAACAGGGAGAAGCAACCAGACAGGCAGACAAACACGCGGACAGGCAGAGACCAAGAAAGCGACAAAGACAGAGGCATATAGAGGGAGAGAGGGAGAGAGAGAGAGAGAGAGAGGTGGACGAAGAAAGCTACGACAGAAAGAGAGAGGGAGAAAACCTGGGACAGGGGCATTCCGCGGCGCTCGCGCTCTTTCCGCCGGCGCCTGGGGCAGACGGGGCACCCCGGGCGCAGTGCGTGAGAGATGCCAAACGGGCAGGAGGCTGCCGCAGGCGCTCCTGGGCACGGGTGCCCCCCCAGCTCGGCGCGCCACCTTGGCGCCCCTGGAACCCTCTGGGCCCCGTGATTAACCAGCCTCGAACGTAGCCCTATCCCTAAGATGGGCGAGCAAAACGCGAGGACAGTCTCAGGGATAGGCCCTCAGAAACGGAGGGAATCCTGAAGATCGGCATCGAGGTGAGGTGATGTCGAACATGGGGATAGAAACATGTTTCAAATTGGTAAGTGATGGGTGCTCTGGCCCGCCATATCGGCACCGACAGATTTGGGGGGGCACCTTCGGCCAGGGCCCCTCTGACAACTGCCGAATCTGACCAGCCTGGAACATATCCCTATCCCTATGCTGGGCACCTCCTCATCACGATGCCAATCTCAGGGATTCCCTTATTTTTTGAGGGCGAATCCCTAAGATTGTCATCGCCTTTTGGCGTGTCAATCTTAGGGATAAGGATACGTTCGAGGCTGGTAAAAATCGAGTCCCTCCCCCTGCGGGCCATCCGGGGCCCAGAGGAGTCCACTCCGAACGCACCCGTGCGCACGGCGCGACTGAAAGCAAGGGCAGCTGTCGCAGATGCCTCCGCCTGAAGTGGGCGCGCCACTTGACTCGAACGCAGGTGTGTGGCCACTACCGGCAATGCCCTGTACATCTGGCCCAAAAGTCAACCTCAGTCGACTTGACATCCGACCGGAGTCCGCGATTCCGTGCCGCTTCCCCCAGGTCTGGGCGTAGCAAAAACGCGTCGACTGATTTCCCCACAATCGGGGATGGATAGACCTCCCTTTAGTAAAACGTGGTTTAGTGAAAACGACCTCGGGCCCAAACCTGGCGGGCGCAAGCCTGGAAATGACGGCCGCGGCGCCCTCTCGAGAACCGAAAACGGACAATTCACTAATCGACGTGTCAGGGTAGGAAGTCTGTCCACCCCCGACACAAATGTTAGAATCTGGATGCTGCCTCCCAGCCCCAGGGCAATCAAGCAACGATTCGGGATGGAAAGACCAGCCCCTGCAGACGGGGTCGAGATCTCCGGGGCCCCACGTCGCACCAAAAGTTGCGACGTTGGAGCAGAGGTTGAGGCATCCAGGATGCCAGGAAACAGGAACGGTGCCATGATGCACACTCTCGGGCCTCTGACATCCACCCTGGCGCCAACTCAGATGAGACCGCGAAGGGGGAGGAAGGAGGAGGAGGAGGAAGAGGAGGAGGAGTTTTTTTATTCGTCGACATCTGGGATGAGTGCTCTGGCCTGAATGGATGGCTGGAGTCTTGCAAAAAGAAGGCTTCGATGGCTATACCACCGCTTCGAAAAAAATCCCGTCGCACGGAGGGCTGGACTCCGTAACTCGCAAAGCGCGTGCACAGGCAGGTGCTCGAGCGGCGTGGCTGGCTGTGCGGGGTGAGGGGTGGCGGCACTACAATGAAGAGGGATTCAAGCGCAGACTCCGTGACAGCCATCACGGTGCCCGATCTCTGCACACAACTATACGATGAATGGTATCTGTCAGAAGATAACTATAGTCCGAAGTCTGCTGCCGCCGCTTCGTCGGCCGAGAAGTCATGCTCTGGGGCGACCTCAGCTCCTAGACTCGGCGATTCAACCTCCCGATCGCCGTGTGAGTCTGTGGGTGCGGCCGACGGGCGAGCGTATCTAATGCTGATGACTGGTGTCTGGACCGGTGCCGCGCGAGGCGGCGAGCTTGAACGAACAAAGAGGATGGGAAGAGAGAGGTCACGCGCGGCGGGGCCACGCGACAGAGGTAGCACAGGCGCCTTCAGTTCGTGATCATCAGGAGCTCCGTCTACTGAGCGAGCGCGTCGAGCCACGTCGACAGCTCCTCCTCGAGCCAGCCCGCTGGCATGACCCCCGTATGGATGATGGCCGAGCCCTCGCAGCGGAGGGCGGCGAGGATGTGTGGGCGCATGTCCCACTCGTTCATGGCGAAGAGGATCTTCGTGTTCTTCGTCTCGTGGCATTTCTCGAGCCTGATGAAAGTGACCGCGTCCTCGATCGTGGTCTTCGCTATCGTGGTGTCGTCCTCGGGCGCCCCGTTGGCCCTGATGAGCCATGCCTCCAGGATCTTCTTGCACGCGCCGCCGATGTCGCAGCCGATCAGGGCCTCGACTACTGCCAGGACGAGAGAGGCAGTCGGCGATCCGAGAGTCTTGAGCGCTGCCTGCTGCGCCTCGTCGCCCTCGCGGAGCGTCTGGACCTCCTGCTTGAAGGTCTCGAGCTCGTCCGAGATGGCCACGATCAGCGGGTGTGTCGTCGCGAGCGTCACTGTGTCCACTGCGGTGGCGAGGGCGAGGCGGGCGCGGTGGCTGGTTTGCAATACTAGCTTTCCCATGACTGTCATCATCTGCTGCAGGTTCTTGTCCTTGCTGGTCCACGTCTTCTCTGTGTGGGCCCCGCGGCGGTGGCGCTTGCCTCCGCGTCGCCGACGGGCGGGGGCTGCGGCAGCTCCCTGGGGCGGTGTTGCTGCTGCCGATGCCGCCGATGCCGATGCTGGTGCTGCCAGGGTGGGCTTCTTGTAGGGCGGCGCGCCGTGCGACTCGTTGTTCCCACCATTCAATGAGGGGCGCGATGAGCCCCCCAGCCGCCAGGCCGCCCTGCGTGGGGGGGCGCCGTTGCCGCTCTTCATCTGGACGTCGGGCCTGTCGGACGGGCGAGCGGCTGCTGCAGCTCCTTCCCCTCCCATCTGTGCGCCAGGTCGGGGTTGCTGTGGCTCCTTGGCCTGGTAACTGTGGCGCGGCGGCCGCTGGCGAGGGGAGGGCCGACGCAGTCGGCGGTGCACCTGCTTCGTGTAGGTGAGGTGGCGCAGTCCCAGGCTGCGGGGTCCGCCGAGTGCCTCTCGGCTTGGCGGCTGGTGCAGCGCGTGGAAGGAGAAGACGGTGGGAGGCGCGCTGCAGCGCACGTCTGGCCTCCGCGGTGTCCGCGAAGCCGGTGCCGCGGTCGACCGCGGCAGGGGGGGCCACGGGCGCGCCACGCGCCCTCGGGGTCGGCGCGGTCGGCGCAGTCAGCCTGGTCCATTTCGAGCCAGATGGAGACGGAGGAACGTGTTCACAGAGATGTTTCCGTAGGGCCTCGGCACTCTGGAAGGGCTCGCAGCACCCAGGATTACTCGAGACGTTCGAATAGGGACACAATCGCATAGTGGTAGGGACATACTCATAACAATGACGAGTTTGATCGGGT